GGACTATAAAGGCTGTTGTAAATTCTTAGACAGGTCATTTTTCATTATCGTAAAGATTGCATGCATAATAGGGCAAAAAAATAAACTAAATATGAGTGTGTATACAAACGACAGATTGAGTTTGATCGTGTTGAACTTCGTAAACCAGCCATATAATGCAGTATAATCAATTTATAAGGTTAGCTAAATGAAATAAGCTTTGAGGCAGATTATATGCTGGAATTAATAACGATTGCCTAAACCAAGATAACCTTCATCAAAGAGTAAATATAGTTTTTGCTTTTAAAGAAATGAAAAATTTTAATTAAATAAACATGAATGGTATTTATTTGACACAGTTCTGTATTTTTTCATAATGGAAGTTTTCGCTGTTTTACTACTGGCACCTCAGCTCCTCACACGAGTTGCTGAAGCCCTGCTCCTACACCTTCTTTTACATCGCTTTTAGCCCTTTTGTCGTCTCAAATGATTAACGCAGACGATCCAGATTATTACACAGTACTTGAAATTGACCGAACTGCTGATGCAGAGGGCGTGAAAAGGGCATATAGGAAACTGGCCCTAAAATGGCACCCAGACAAAAACCCAAATAATAAGGAGGAAGCTGAAAAGCGTTTTAAATTGATTAGCGAAGCATACGAAGTTCTTTCTGATCCATCTAAGAAACAAATGTACGATACGTATGGCAAGCAAGGACTAGTTAATGGTGGAACTTCCAGTAGTGCCACATTTGATCCTTCACAATTCGTGGCTGGATTGGATCCATTTTTCGCCTTCCGACCATTTGGATTTAACTTTCGTGATCCAATGGACATATTCAGGGAAGTTTTTGCAGGTTCCGGGATTGATCTACTGTTTTCAGCTCCTGGCATTCATGATGTCTCTGGCGTTTCTAATCATTTCCACGATCGCGTCCATCGTTCTAGCACAGCTCACAGAGCTGCTCGTTATGCAAATGCACATAATCCATATGCTCAATGCCGCAGTAATAGTACGCATCTTCAAGCGTATAATCCCCAAGCAGCTGCCATGCATGTTGCCAGCCCTGCCGATGTTATGACTAACGTCTTTGGCTCATTCTTTGGTGGCGGTGGTCTTTTCCCGCAAATGAACATGTTTAGTTCTCCATTCGGCTCAACGACTATGTTTTCAAGCACTGCTGGAGGCGGAGGAAACTTTCGATCGGTTTCATCTTCTTCTCGCGTTGTAAACGGGCGAGTAGTAAAAACCACCACTGTGGTTGAAAATGGTGTCGAAACGATCACCGAAGAAATCGATGGTCAAGTCACTAATCAAACTATACGGCAATGTGGCGCCGGTGCCGTTCAGGCCCTGTGATCGCTTTTTATTTAGCCTGCCCACTACACCCTGGCCCTAGAAGTTATCTGATGTCTTTGAGGTTTTCACTGCATCTCCTGGTTTTACATTTAAGTGTTTCGCTGGCCTCAGACTTTTCATCCATATTTGATTTCTCATGTACAGTGAATTACTGATGGTATGAAGTATTTCCAATAAAATTTACCATGCATCTTATTTCCCTATTCTAGCTAATATTGTTTGCAATAAGCCAATTAGGGAAACTCCCCGGCTCATATTCTGTAATTTAATTATCATCACTACCGCGGCCTGGTAGCGTGTGTCGTTATGACTGCATATTCTTATATATATATATATATATAAGGCTACGACTTATTAATATATATGCCAATTATTGATTTTAGCGTTGGTATGTAAATGAAGCCAAATCTTCATTCTACATGCTCTTAAATAATGGTATTTTTATTTTTAATGCTTTTCGCATCCCCAAACAAGAACTCTAGAAGCCCTGATAAGCGCATTATTATGTATGACTAGATACAAGGTTTTAGGGCACTTAAACTTTGATATCGATATTTTTTGATTTGCTCCTTTCATATACTTAAATTGGCTAGGCGAAATCAGGTTTGACATAGCTATTAAATTCTTAGTCACTTCCTCCACGTTTTTACCATCCATGTGGGTATGTTGACATTCTGCTCTCCGAGTTGAGCTACCTTTTATATTTTTTTTCTCATGGCTTACTTAGGCTA